CAGAGGAAATAAACGATCTTACCTTGTCAGCCCCAAAAACCAAAAGCTATAGAAAAAAACTCACCCAAAACGTAGCAAGCAAAAAACTAAACAACTTAGTCCTCCTACTAGCTTACATGTTAAAGCAGTCTAATCCAGAAGCCAGCTCCAAAGCCTTCTTTGGTGTAGCACATAAACTACAACTCGTCACCACCTCTTTCGACCGTTTCAGCAGCAACCTTAATAACCTACTAAAGTAAATACCTAAACCAAGCCTAAACCAAACATAAATCCACCCAGTTTCCAAATGGAAGGCCTAAACATTTTTCAATGGAATGCCAATGGCCTCGCTGGCCATGGTTCTGAACTTAAAGCTAAATTCAAAATAGATAAAGGTCCCCATGTAGCTTGTATTCAAGAAACCAAATTCTCACATAAAACTAAATTCAAGCTACCAAATTATAACGCAGTGAGAACCGACAGGTCCAAAACCATCCCAGGCAGAACAGGAGGAGGTCTAATCATCTACGTTAGAGAGGATATAAACTACGAGGAAGTTAAAGTAAACACTCCTAATCTAGAAGCTAATGGAATCCAAGTCACCATCAATAACCAAAAAATAAAAATCATTAACATCTATCACTCAACACTAAAACCAATTAAAGATACAGACCTAGATATCCTTTACCAATTAGGAAACAAATCAACCATCTTCCTAGGAGACTTCAATGCCCATCATCCTACCTGGGGCATTGCAGATAAACTAGACAACCATGGACAACTAATATCAGAGTGGATCGAAAAAAATGACCTTATACTATTAAACAATAACCAACCAACTAGATACGACAAAATCCACCACACCATGTCGGCTATCGACTTAACAATATGTACGCCAGACTTAGCACAAAGTCTGATGTGGGACGTCCACCCAGTACCTCTAGGCAGCGACCACTTTCCCATAAATATAACCCTAGGAAATATAAAAATACCAAATCAAACCCCTAAACAGGAACCTAAATTTCAGTACAAAAACGCCAACTGGGACCAATTCCAAGAATTATGCAACGAAGCTAATCTAAACGATTTAGAAACAACAGACCCCGAAACATTCTGTCAAAACCTAACTAACTTCATAATCAACGCAGCCAAATCCGCAATCCCCTTCAAATCATCCAACCCAGGAAAACCCACTGTCCCTTGGTGGAATGAGGAAATAGAGCTAACTAGACTAAAACGCAAATCAGCTTTCAACAGAGCTAAACGAGACCCCTCTCATCTCAAAACAGCTCATGAACTAAACCACCAAGTCCAAAACCTAGTTAAAACTGCTAAAACCAAAAACTGGAAAAAATTCTGTGAGGAGCTAAACCACCACACCGACGCTAGGAAGGTGTGGCGCAAAATTCACGCCATCCGAGGCATCAAACGGCACAAAAAAAGCCCCAATATAAACAACTCAACAAACCCCACCCAAAAGGCCAACAACCTAGCCAAACACTTCTCTAAAGTTAGTAGCAACAGTAACTTCAGTAAGAAATTCCAAGATAAACTAAATAAAGAAATAAAATTCTCCAAAGAAATCAGACAAGACAACCTAGAAATAAATCAACCTTACACCATAGAAGAACTAAATCACGTACTAAACAATAGAAAAAAAGGAACAGCCCCTGGCCTAGACCTCACCTCTTACCAAATAATCAAACACTTACCTACCAAACTACTCCAAACTTTACTTAAACTATACAACCTAGTTTACCTAAACGGACAGGTCCCATCCTCATGGAAGGAAGCTCTAGTAATCCCAATACCTAAACCAAATAAACCAGCAGATCAGGCAAACTCCTATAGGCCCATATCCCTAACCTCAAATCTCTGCAAAATAATGGAACTTATGACTAAAAATAGGCTACAGCACTACCTAGACCAAAACAACATCATAAACCCCGACCAAAGCGGCTTCACTCCTGGCCGATCAACTCTCGATAACCTTGCCCGACTAGAACAGGATATAAAAACAGGACAGCTGAACAAGCAATACACCATAGGCATATTCCTCGACTTCTCTAAAGCTTTCGATATGGTATGGCACCACGGGCTAATACAAAAACTAAAAAAAATAGGACTAAAAGGCCAAATAATAAACTTCATCCAAGATTTCCTAAACAATCGCAAAATTACCGTGGGTATAGACCATACGCTATCGGACCAGTGTCCCCTAGAAAATGGCACTCCCCAGGGCAGCATTCTCAGCCCAACCCTCTTCAATATAATGATAAATGATCTATTCGAGGGCTTATCCCCTAAACTAAACACTTCAAAATTCGCGGATGATGGAGCCCTATGGATCCGCACTAAAAGCATTAAAATGGCAGAAAACTTAATCCAAAAATCTCTAAATAAAATACAACAATGGGCAGACAAATGGGGCTTCTCCCTTAACTCAGATAAAACAACAGGAATAGTATTCAAACATAAAAACATGAAACCTGCCTACCCAATCCTCCAGCTAAACAACCAAACAATCAAATTCCAAAAACAAACCAAATTCTTAGGACTTATTTTCGATCAACACCTCACCTGGGAGGCTCACGTCCAAAACCTAAAAACTAGATGCAGCAAAGACCTTGACACATTAAGATGTCTCACCGGCTCTAACTGGGGAGCCTCCAAAGATACCCTCCTCTCACTATATACAACACTAATTAGATCAAAACTAGACTACGGCTGCGCCATATACAATACCCTAAACAACTCTCTATCTAAAAAACTTGACTCAATACAATACCAAGCCCTTAAACTAATTACACGCACCCAACATGGCACCTCCTACACCTCACTTCAGGCCCTAACAGGAGAAATGCCACTAAATCTACGCAGGGAACATCTAAGCCTTAATTTCTGGGCCGCGTCCCAAACAAACCCTCTCATCGAAAACCTAATTAACCAAAACATTAGCCCAAGAAACCAAGCTCTAGCTCGCAAACACCCCTTACTCACCCCAATATCCCAAAGAATAACTAACTACCTCAATGAACACCAAACTCAAAATCTTAAACAAAACTGCAAAAAATCAAATATCTTCACCCCTCAACTCAAAATACCCCAAATAGACACAACGCTAACTAACCAAATAAATAAACAAACCGACCCAAACATAGCTAAAACCACCACACTTTCTTACATACACGAAAATTGGCCAAATTGGTGTCACATATACACTGACGGATCTTCAGACCCGATCTCCAACCACACAGGTTTCGGAGTCCATACCACACAACCAGTTATATCCACACAATCTTACCGACTCCCTAACAACCAATCTATATTCACGGCTGAACTTATGGGCATGGCCTCAGCCCTGCATAACCAACAATCAAAAAACAACAAAAAAATCCTAATTCTCACTGACTCGCTTAGTGGGCTACAAGCCCTCCAAAACAAAAATACCAAAAAACGACCTAAATTAATAAACCAAATACTTAAAAGCTCCAACGACCTAACAAAAGCAGGCAAACAAATAACCTTCTTGTGGATCCCCGCCCACGTAGGAATTTACGGCAACGAAAACGCCGATAAAGCAGCTAAATTATCTCTCAAAATACCAGAAATAAGCCTAAACCTACCCATCTCAAAATCAGAAATTAAAAGTGTAAACAAACAAAAAATAACCAAAAAATGGCATAATCAATATCAAAACTCAAATAGCCAAATCAAAAAAGTGCTCAGAAAACCACTAGCCAAACCTAAAATCCTACACCCCTCTAAAAAAATTGACAGATTAATTACAAAACTCCAAACAGGACACACCAACCTAAATAACCACCTAAAACAACTTAAAAGACACACCACGGGCAACTGCCCCTGCTGCAAACAACCCGAAACCACAGAACACGCACTCATCCACTGCACCCGCTACCAAACACACAGAACCACACTACAAACCAACCTCAATCTAAATAAGGTTCCTACTCTAGATGATATACTAAACCCTCAAAATAAACTAGAAAACTTCAAGGCCCTAGGCGTATTCCTAATCAAAACAGGCCTAATTAAGCGCATCTAAAAACTAATTAATCTACCAATCCAAAATCCAATAAACATACAAGCACCCACCTCACCCGGCTCCCTTAGTTCCCTCCTCCACCCACCTCGGCATTTATTCCAAATTTTAGAATTTCAAAAAAATCGATATAAGCAACCCCTAAAAGCCCCCTCTTGGGTTGCACACACCACTTTCACCCTTCTCGGAATACACTAAATGGTCTGGCCAGGCCCGTGTGCGAAATACGCTGCAGTCGGAAAGCGCACGTTAAATCTTCTATATCAGTCAGTCAGTCACTAGCTAGTTCCCCAACCAATTTAGTATGGCATGTTTCAAAATTCCAGATTTCCGTCAAAAGTAATTAAGCGACCATGAAGCCCCTCCAGGTTGCCTTACCTTTTGGACATACCCTTCTCGACCACATCACCAAATGGCCTGGCGAGCCCGTGCGCGAAATACGCATATGTGGAAAAGCGCACGTTAAAACCCAAACTAAGTTAGTAAGCTAGCCTTATCCTTCAGTTCCCCTACCTTTTTAGTATGGCATATTTCAAAATTCAAAATTTCCATCAAAAGTAATTAAACGACCATAAAGCCCCTCCAGGTTGCCTTACCTTTCGGACATACCCTTCTCGACCACATCACTAAATGGCCTGGCGAGCCCGTGCGCGAAATACGCAAATGTCGGAAAGTGCATGTTATACCCAAACTAAGTAAGGAAGCTAGCCTTGACTTTCAGTTAGGTGAGCTAAAGATAAGACCATTATTTATTTTAATTTGAAAGAATATATTCTATATATATATATATATATATATATATAGGGTCAATAGGATGAGAAAAAATTTCAAAGTATTCATTTCCCTTTCAACATTTTTTGGAAATGTGACAGGAATGGTAAAAATTAAATAGCGTTTACATGTGAATAGTGTTTGTGCAAATATTTAGAGGTCTCTGAGCATGTACAGTCAGACCGAAAACAATTAGTCAGTTTTATTTATGAGAGTGATTATGACAGTTGCCATTAATTAAGCCTTTAACAGGTATTTTCACCCCACCCCCCAATCCTGGTTAACACTAACAGTCAATGGATCCATAAACCAAGTAAAACAACATAAACATAATACATAATGCAGCTATTTGACAAGAAGGCTTAAGGAGGATGGAGTGGATGTTGAACATCTCTGGGATCAGCTTCGGCAAAACGTTTTACAGAAGCCACATTGTGCCACATGATCTTGGGTTTCAGCACAGAATTCTCATCTTGGAGTGGATCACCATGCTGAGTATGAGGTCAAGGAGCACCAATATGGTCTTACTACTCACTAAGTGTGGCAGCAGTTTGTATGAACATGATGTTACAGGGTCGTCTTAATTTGAGCTGCTCAAATCACTGGCTTCCTATTGACAATATCGCTTTTCATTTATAATGAATTTGGAACTGAAACATAATACATTCATTTTCAGCTAGAATCTGTTTCTTTTCAGTCCCATATTATAAAGGTGACATTCAATAGTTGAACTGTGTATAAATCAAATAGTGATACATCAAAACAACATAATCGGATGGACTTGGGAGCCACATCACAAGCCATAAGAGTAAGAGTTGTCAACATTTTACATAGAAAATGTCTGTAATTATTCAACAATGATCCATCATGGAAACCATCACATGCACTGGAAGAAATTGTTCTTAATGGATTCTCATGCTTCTGTGAACATCATCGCCGAATCCCTCTTCCCATATTATGACTGGGTGATGATGCTCCAACAGCCTGGGAAATCTCTTGCAGGAAACTGAAATGATACTGATACTGGTCAGCAACTAATGCAGCTGCAAGCTCTGTTTCTTTATCTATGTTAATAATCTACTGAAAAAGGTTTTCACAATACTAGGTTTTATTGTCTACAGATATTACATGGCTCTTGTCCTGGGTTAGAATAGGTCTTCAGCAACCCATGCTTGCCGTAAAAGGCGACTATGCTATGTTAGGTGACTAACAGGATCAGGTGGTCAGGTACACTGACTTGGTTGATGCATGTCATCGATCCCAATTGCGTGGATCAATGATCATGATGTCAATCACTGGATTGTCTGGTCCAGACTCGATTGTTTACAGACCGCCATCATATAGCTGGAATATTGCTGAGTGCAGTGTTAAACAACAAACAAACAACCAAACAAACAAACATGCCTCTCATGGCTGAACATGCAAGTGGGGACCCAAGTACTTCAGTTGACCCCATGTTTAACATTAATTACATCACTACCTTTTAAATAACCATGAGAATTAGAATTTTTTTGGGAAAAGTGCAATCATCAAATTTTGAACACTTCGATGTAGGGACATACACCTGGAAGTGTGTTTGCCCAGGAACAAATGCATGGACAAACACACACTATAAAATAACAGGAAACATATATGTACTTAAACTGACCATGTCGCCACCTCAATAACCTACCATGGTACATCAGGTGGTGTGTGTTACTACTTCATACAGAGCTGACCACCCACCATGGTACATCAGGTGGTGTGTGTTACTACTTCATACAGAGCTGACCACCCACCATGGTACATCAGGTCGTGTGTGTTACTACTTCATACAGAGCTGACCACCCAACATGGTACATCAGGTGGTGTGTGTTACTACTTCATACAGAGCTGACCACCCACCACGGTACATCAGGTCGTGTGTGTTACTATTTCATACAGAGCTGACCACCTACCATGGTACATCAGGTCATGTGTGTAACTACTTCATACAGAGCTGACCACCTACCATGGGACATCAGGTGGTGTGTTACTAGTTCACACAGAGCTGACCACCCACCATGGTACATCAGCTGGTGTGTGTTACTACTTCATACAGAGCTGACCACCCACCATGGTACATCAGGTGGTGTGTTACTACTTCAGAGAAAGCTGACCACCCACCACGGTACATCAGGTCGTGTGTGTTACTATTTCATACAGAGCTGACCACCCACCATGGTACATCAGGTTATGTGTGTAACTACTTCATACAGAGCTGACCACCTACCATGGGACATCAGGTGGTGTGTTACTACTTCAGAGAAAGCTGACCACCCACCACATTACATCAGGTCGTGTGTGTTACTATTTCATACAGAGCTGACCACCCACCATGGTACATCAGGTTATGTGTGTAACTACTTCATACAGAGCTGACCACCTACCATGGGACATCAGGTGGTGTGTTACTAGTTCACACAGAGCTGACCACCCACCATGGTACATCAGGTGGTGTGTGTTACTACTTCATACAGAGCTGACCACCTACCATGGTACACCAGGTGGTGTGTGTTACTACTTCATACAGAGCTGACCACCTACCATGGGACATCAGGTCATGTGTGTAACTACTTCATACAGAGCTGACCACCCACCACGGTACATCAGGTCATGTGTGTAACTACTTCATACAGAGCTGACCACCTACCATTGGACATCAGGTCATGTGTGTAACTACTTCATACAGAGCTGACCACCTACCATGGTACATCAGGTCATGTGTGTAACTACTTCATACAGAGCTGACCACCTACCATGGGACATCAGGTGGTGTGTTACTACTTCATACAGAGATAACATCTACCATGGTACATCAGGTCATGTGTGTAACTACTTCATACAGAGCTGACCACCCACCATGGTACATCAGGTGGTGTGTGTTACTGATTCATACAGAGCTGACCACCCACCATGGTACATCAGGTGGTGTGTGTTACTACTTCACACAGAGCTGACCACCTACCATGGTACATCAGGTCATGTGTGTAACTACTTCATACAGAGCTGACCACCCACCATGGTACATCAGGTCGTGTGTGTTACTACTTCATTCAGAGCTGACCACCCACCATGGTACATCAGGTGGTGTGTGTTACTACTTCATACAGAGCTAACATCTACCATGGTACATCAGGTCGTGTGTGTTACTAGACCAAAGAGAGCTGACCACCCACCATGGTACATCAGGTGGTGTGTTTTACTACTTCACACAGAGCTGACCACCCACCATGGTACATCAGGTGGTGTGTGTTACTACTTCATACAGAGCTGACCACCCAGCATGGTACATCAGGTTGTGTGTGTTACTACTTCATACAGAGCTGACCACCCACCATGGTACACCAGGTGGTGTGTGTTACTACTTCATACAGAGCTGACCACCCACCATGGTATATCAGGTGGTGTGTGTTACTGATTCATACAGAGCTGACCACCCACCATGGTACATCAGGTTGTGTGTGTTACTACTTCATACAGAGCTGACCACCTACCATGGTACACCAGGTGGTGTGTGTTACTACTTCATACAGAGCTGACCACCCACCATGGTACATCAGGTCGTGTGTGTTACTACTTCATACAGAGCTGACCACCCACCATGGTACATCAGGTCGTGTGTGTTACTACTTCATACAGAGCTGAACACCCAACATGGTACATTAGGTCGTGTGTGTTACTACTTCATACAGAGATAACATCTACCATGGCACATCAGGTGGTGTGTTACTACTTCAGAGAAAGCTGACCACCCACCATGGTACATAAGGTTGTGTGTGTTACTACTTCATACAGAGCTGACCACCCACCATGGTACATCAGGTCATGTGTGTAACTACTTCATACAGAGCTGACCACCTACCATGGTACATCAGGTGGTGTGTGTTACTACTTCACACAGAGCTGACCACCCAACATGGTACATCAGGTGGTGTGTTACTACTTCAGAGAAAGCTGACCACCCACCATGGTACATAAGGTGGTGTGTGTTACTACTTCATACAGAGCTGACCACCTACCATGGCACATCAGGTCATGTGTGTTACTTCTTCACACAGAGCTGACCACCTACTATGGTACATCAGGTGGTGTGTGTTACTACTTCACACAGAGCTGACCACCCACCATGGTACATCAGATGGTGTGTGTTACTACTTCATACAGAGCTGACCACCCACCATGGTACATCAGGTAATGTGTGCTACTACTTCATACAGAGCTGACCACCTACCATTGGACATCAGGTCATGTGTGTAACTACTTCATACAGAGCTGACCACCTACCATGGTACATCAGGTCATGTGTGTAACTACTTCATACAGAGCTGACCACCTACCATGGGACATCAGGTGGTGTGTTACTACTTCATACAGAGATAACATCTACCATGGTACATCAGGTCATGTGTGTAACTACTTCATACAGAGCTGACCACCCACCATGGTACATCAGGTGGTGTGTGTTACTACTTCACACAGAGCTGACCACCCACCATGGTACATCAGGTGGTGTGTGTTACTACTTCATACAGAGCTGACCACCTACCATGGTACACCAGGTGGTGTGTGTTACTACTTCACACAGAGCTGACCACCCACCATGGTACATCAGGTGGTGTGTGTTACTACTTCATACAGAGCTGACCACCTACCATGGTACATCAGGTCATGTGTGTAACTACTTCATACAGAGCTGACCACCCACCATGGTACATCAGGTGGTGTGTGTTACTACTTCATTCAGAGCTGACCACCCACCATGGTACATCAGGTGGTGTGTGTTACTACTTCATACAGAGCTAACATCTACCATGGTACATCAGGTCGTGTGTGTTACTAGACCAAAGAGAGCTGACCACCCACCATGGTACATCAGGTGGTGTGTTTTACTACTTCACACAGAGCTGACCACCCACCATGGTACATCAGGTGGTGTGTGTTACTACTTCATACAGAGCTGACCACCCAGCATGGTACATCAGGTTGTGTGTGTTACTACTTCATACAGAGCTGACCACCCACCATGGTACACCAGGTGGTGTGTGTTACTACTTCATACAGAGCTGACCACCCACCATGGTATATCAGGTGGTGTGTGTTACTGATTCATACAGAGCTGACCACCCACCATGGTACATCAGGTTGTGTGTGTTACTACTTCATACAGAGCTGACCACCTACCATGGTACACCAGGTGGTGTGTGTTACTACTTCATACAGAGCTGACCACCCACCATGGTACATCAGGTCGTGTGTGTTACTACTTCATACAGAGCTGACCACCCACCATGGTACATCAGGTCGTGTGTGTTACTACTTCATACAGAGCTGAACACCCAACATGGTACATTAGGTCGTGTGTGTTACTACTTCATACAGAGATAACATCTACCATGGCACATCAGGTGGTGTGTTACTACTTCAGAGAAAGCTGACCACCCACCATGGTACATAAGGTTGTGTGTGTTACTACTTCATACAGAGCTGACCACCCACCATGGTACATCAGGTCATGTGTGTAACTACTTCATACAGAGCTGACCACCTACCATGGTACATCAGGTGGTGTGTGTTACTACTTCACACAGAGCTGACCACCCAACATGGTACATCAGGTGGTGTGTTACTACTTCAGAGAAAGCTGACCACCCACCATGGTACATAAGGTGGTGTGTGTTACTACTTCATACAGAGCTGACCACCTACCATGGCACATCAGGTCATGTGTGTTACTTCTTCACACAGAGCTGACCACCTACTATGGTACATCAGGTGGTGTGTGTTACTACTTCACACAGAGCTGACCACCCACCATGGTACATCAGATGGTGTGTGTTACTACTTCATACAGAGCTGACCACCCACCATGGTACATCAGGTAATGTGTGCTACTACTTCACACAGAGCTGACCACCCACCATGGTACATCAGATGGTGTGTGTTACTACTTCATACAGAGCTGACCACCCACCATGGTACATCAGGTGGTGTGTGTTACTACTTCATACAGAGCTGACCACCCACCATGGTACATCAGGTGGTGTGTTACTACTTCAGAGAGAGCTGACCACCCACCTCTTAAAGTTGTGTATGGTTGTGCCACCAAGCACTACTCGAACTCCTGGCGTTGACCTGTTGATGTTGTGGATTGCCAAGGCCTCTTCATATGTACAGCCACCAATCACAAATATGACAATATCTTGTGGTCTGTGCAAATGCAAAACAAATAACAAACACATAAGTGTTAAAGGGCAAGTAAAGACAACATGGCAGATTTTAATACTTTAGGTTATACATAATCACAAATACTTGAACAAAATTAAATTTGAAAAGCGGAAATAGTGAAAAACAGGAGATAAAACGTGACAGGAGAAACCGTCCCCCAAACGTAAAAATCTGCCACACAGGGAATTCCCGTTACTGGGGGTAAATCAGGTCCCTGATGTTTGACATGCTGCACAATTACAACGATCGGGCCGACACAAAGTCTGCTTACTTCCGCATTGGGTTTCTAAATTGTATCATGTCAACTTATGCCTTGTTAGTAACAACACTGAAAACTGGCCCCTCGGTCTTGACGGAGAATGTAAGCCCTGGGAGGCAGGAAATAGGGGAGGGCCAAATGTCAACCCAGGGAGGCAGGAAATAGGGGAGGGCCAAATGTAAGGCCAGGGAGGCAGGAAATAGGGGAGGGCCAAATGTAAGGCCAGGGAGGGAGGAAATAGGGGAGGGCCAAATGTCAGCCCAGGGAGGCAGGAAATAGGGGAGGGCCAAATGTCAGCCCAGGGAGGCAGGAAATAAGGGAGGGACAAATGTCAACCCAGGGAGGCAGGAAATAGGGGAGGGCCAAATATCAGCCCAGGGAGGCAGGAAATAGGGGAGGGTCAAATGTCAGCCCAGGGAGGCAGGAAATAGGGGAGGGTCAAATGTAAGGCCAGGGAGGCAGGAAATAGGGGAGGGACAAATGTCAACCCAGGGAGGCAGGAAATAGGGGAGGGCCAAATATCAGCCCAGGGAGGCAGGAAATAGGGGAGGGTCAAATGTCAGCCCAGGGAGGCAGGAAATAGGGGAGGGCCAAATGTCAACCCAGGGAGGCAGGAAATAGGGGAGGGTCAAATGTCAGCCCAGGGAGGCAGGAAATAGGGGAGGGTCAAATGTAAGCCCAGGGAGGCAGGAAATAGGGGAGGGTCAAATGTAAGCCCAGGGAGGCAGGAAATAGGGGAGGGTCAAATGTCAGCCCAGGGAGGCAGGAAATAGGGGAGGGTCAAATGTAAGGCCAGGGAGGCAGGAAATAGGGGAGGGACAAATGTCAACCCAGGGAGGCAGGAAATAGGGGAGGGCCAAATATCAGCCCAGGGAGGCAGGAAATAGGGGAGGGTCAAATGTCAGCCCAGGGAGGCAGGAAATAGGGGAGGGCCAAATGTCAACCCAGGGAGGCAGGAAATAGGGGAGGGCCAAATGTCAGCCCAGGGAGGCAGCAAATAGGGGAGGGCCAAATGTCAGCCCAGGGAGGCAGGAAATAGGGGAGAGCCAAATGTAAGGCCAGGGAGGCAGGAAATAGGGGAGGGCCAAATGTAAACCCAGGGAGGCAGGAAATAGGGGAGGGCCAAATGTAAGGCCAGGGAGGCAGGAAATAGGGGAGGGCCAAATGTACACCCGGGGAGGCAGGAAATACGGCAGGGACAAATGTCAGCCTAGGGAGGCAGGAAATAGGGGAGGGTCAAATGTAAACCAAGGGAGGCAGGAAATAGGGGAGGGCCAAATGTGAGGCCAGGGAGGCAGGAAATAGGGGAGGGCCAAATGTAAGGCCACAGAGGCAGGAAATAGGGGAGGGCCAAATGTGAGGCCAGGGAGGCAGGAAATAGGGGAGGGACAAATTTAAGGCCAGGGAGGCAGGGAATAGGGGAGGGACAAATGTAAGGCCAGGGAGGCAGGAAATAGGGGAGGGCCAAATGTAAGGCCACAGAGACAGGAAATAGGGGAGGGCCAAATGTCAGCCTAGGGAGGCAGGAAATAGGGGAGGGCCAAATGTAAGGCCAGGGAGGCAGGAAATAGGGGAGGGCTAAATGTAAACCCAGGGAGGGAGGAAATAGGGTAGGGACAAATGGCTGACATTTGGCCCTCCCGTATTTTCTGCCTCCCTGGCCTTACATTTGGCCAGGGAGGCAGGAAATACCAAATACCAAATAAGCCATAAAAAGCTTGTTACAGACATTTTTAATTGTTATTTTAATTATATATTCACAATGTCAAGATCAAAGGTCACAACACAAACGCAATCATTTTTTCACTTTACTAGCCCTTTGTATTTTATTTTTGGGGGGCATATCATGGAAAACAGGAACAGTCCCATCATGCCAAGTAATTAACTTAAGAATCTTTTGTATGAAGAGTTAAGATACCACACCATTAACATGGACATTACTCTATAATCCACCTTGGGTATCTTTCTACCCCTCTAACAAAGGGCATTACTCTATAATCCATGTTGAGCATCTTTCTACCCCTCTAACCTAGGGCATTACTCTATAATCAATGTTGAGTATCTTTTTACCCCTCTAACCTAGGGCATTACTTTATAATCCACCTTGGGTATCTTTCTACCCCTCTAACCTAGGGCATGACTCTATAATCCATGTTGAGTATCTTCGTACCCCAGTAACATAGAGCATTACTCTATAATCCATGTTGAGTATCTGTCTACCACTCTATCCTAGGGCATTACTTTATAATCCACCTTGGGTATCTTTCTACCCCTCTAACCTAGGGCATGACTCTATAATCCATGTTGAGTATCTTTCTACCACTCTAACCTAGGGCATTACTCTATAATCCACCTTGGGTATCTTTCTACCCCTCTAACATAGGGCATGACTCTATAATCCATGTTGAGTATCTTTCTACCACTCTAATCTAGGGCATTACTCTATAATCCATGTTGAATATCTTTCTACCACTCTATCCTAGGGCATGACTCTATAATCCATGTTGAGTATCTTCGTACCCCAGTAACATAGAGCATTATTCTATATTCCGGATTGAGTATCCACCCCAGTAACGTGGGGCATTACTCTATAATCCATGTTGAGTATCTTCGTACCCTAGTAACATAGGACATTATTCTATAATCCACATTGAGTATCCACCCCTGTAACATGGGACATTACTCTATAATCCACATTGAGTATCCACCTCAGTAACATTGGACATTATTCTATAATCCACATTGAGTATCCACCCTAGTAACACAGGACATTATTCCATAATCCACTTTGAGTATCCACCCCAGTAACATGGGGCATTACTCTATAATCCACATTCAGTATCCACCCCAGTAACATAGGACAGTATTCTATAATCCACATTGAGTATCTATTTACCCTAGTAACATGGGACATTATTCTATAATCCAGATTGAGTATCCACCCCGGTAACATGGGACATTATTCTATAATCCACATTGAGTATCCACCCCGGTAACATGGGACATTATTCCATAATCCACTTTGAGTATCCACCCCAGTAAAATGGGACTCGTGAAGATTCCGGGGTAGAATAGGTCTTCAGCAACCCATGCTTGCCGTAAAAGGTGACTATGCTTGCCGTAACAGGTGACTATGATTGTCGTAAAAGGCGACTAATGGGATCGGGTGGTCAGGCTCGCTGACTTGGTTGATGTATGTCATTGATCCCAATTGCGTGGATCGATGCTCATGATATCAATCACTGGATTGTCTGGTCCAGTCTCGATTAGTGACAGACTGCCGTCATATAGCTGGAATATTGCTGAGTGCGGCGTTAAACAACAAACCAACCCACCAACCAACATGGGACATTAGTCTATAATCCACATTAAGTATCATCATGTATTCCACGTTGAATATCTATGTACCCCAGTAACATGGCACATTACTTTATAATCCACCTTGCGTATCATCGTACCCCAGAAACATGGGTTATTACTTTATCATCCAACTTGCATTTCATCATACACAAGTAACATGGGACATTACTTTATAATCCATGTTGAGTATCTTCGTACCCCAGAAACATGGGTCATTATTTGATAATCAACCTTGCGTATCATCGTACCCCACAAACATGGGTCATTACTTTATAATCCACATAGCATTTCATCATACCCAGAAACATGGGTCATTACTCTATAATCCACCTTGCGTTTCATCGTACCCCAGAAACATGGGACATTACTTTATAATCCACCTTGCCTTTCATCGTACCCCAGAAACATGGGACATTACTTTATAATCCACCTTGCCTTTCATCGTACCCCAGAAACATGGGACATTACTTTATAATCCACCTTGTGTTTCATCGTACCCCAGAAACATGGGACATTACTTTATGATCCACCTTGCGTTTCATCGTACCCCAGAAACATGGGACATTACTTTATAATCCACTTTGCGTTTCATCGTACCCCAGAAACATGGGACATTACTTTATAATCCACCTTGCGTTTCATCGTAGCCCAGAAACATGGGACATTACTTTATAATCCACCTTGCGTTTCATCGTACCCCAGAAACATGGGACATTACTTTATCATCCACCTTGCCTTTCATCGTACCCCAGAAACATGGGACATTACTTTATAATCCACCTTGTGTTTCATCGTACCCCAGAAACATGGGACATTACTTTATGATCCACCTTGCCTTTCATCGTACCCCAGAAACATGGGACATTACTTTATAATCCACTTTGCGTTTCATCGTACCCCAGAAACATGGGACATTACTTTATAATCCACCTTGCGTTTCATCGTAGCCCAGAAACATGGGACATTACTTTATCATCCACCTTGCCTTTCATCGTACCCCAGAAACATGGGACATTACTTTATAATCCACCTTGTGTTTCATCGTACCCCAGAAACATGGGACATTACTTTATGATCCACCTTGCGTTTCATCGTACCCCAGAAACATGGGACATTACTTTATAATCCACTTTGCGTTTCATCGTACCCCAGAAACATGGGACATTACTTTATAATCCACCTTGCGTTTCATCGTAGCCCAGAAACATGGGACATTACTTTATAATCCACTTTGCGTTTCATCGTACCCCAGAAACATGGGACATTACTTTATAATCCACTTTGCGTTTCATCGTAGCCCAGAAACATGGTTCATTACTCTATCATCCACCTTGCCAAGACTTGATTATTTATAGTGTTATATGGCAGTGTAATATATTGTTATTGATTCTAGTACCTCGGAGGTGAAACTTGACTCCTTTAAGAGCTTCATTAAAGCAGAAATCTCAAAGAAACTCCAGGACCAACTTAGCATAGCATAATGACAAATTCTTTCTGCAGGATGTATTTAGTGATAACTTGAGGATATGATAAAAGTGTGAAAATAGTAGGCAGAGTTTCTCACCAGGTACATTCTGAGTGAGCAGATTGTTAGATTCTACTCAACATTTGATAAATAGGGGTTGCATGTAAATCAAGGACCCCATTGTATGATATAATTGGTCTGTGTACAGAAATACAGAAATGAGATAAAAACATGACCTTTACTTTCTGGGGCATAATACATCCTAATGTACCATGGCTGCTTTAGGTCACATGATGAAGTAAAGCAGTGTTAGTACTGTTACCTGTCCTTGAGCTGGCTGGGGCCGAGGTAGGGATAGCTGGACTCCTTCAGCTTGCCCTTGATCAGCTGATCTACGATTGAGTAGACAAGAGGCTTGTGCTGAGTGTATACATTCTCAACCCCCTGGAAAGGTAAGGAAATCTCCATGATTACTACAGATGGGATGACCACCATAGGCAACACTATTCAGCACACCAGGGCCCAAAACCATAATATGTAAAATAGAATAAAATTAACTTCAATTCGCTGCAATTAACTAAGAGATTAAAATAGTGAAAACTTTTAGCCATAAAGTAAATAAAGTGTGGGTGTTGGTTCTATAGTGTAGGTCTGTTTGATGTGAGCGGACAGTACATGTCAACATCATTTCATTCTTAGTATGGTAACAAACTTAGATATTTTTTATATTTGTATACTTATCCTGCATTACTCCTTAATGCATATTACTGCTTGTTCTTGACAGAGAAAAGAGCTGTGTGAGCTGTGTGAAGCTGAGAGGCCAACCCATCATGCAGCTCTCACGTCCCAAAGGAAGTGACGTCACGGATCATCACATTACTCTGTAGTCCGAAACATCGGAAGGCATCGTGGGGAGGTAGATCTGCGATGGGCGGGTCCATTTAGACGCAGTAATGCAGGATAAGTATACAAATATAAAAAATATCTTTCCTAGATTTTTTACTTACCCTGCATTACTCTTTACTGCATCTTTATCGGACGGAACTGGAGGTGGAGGCGTGGTCAGCGTGTAGTAGTGGGGACCTGTTGGGCCACTACTAACAGACCAAAGCTGTGCGTGCCTTACACGTCCTCCAAAGCGACGTCTCGCATGTAGTGACTGGCGAAGACCGTGTTGGAACGCCAGAAACATCCCTCCATGATGGCGCGTAGAGAGCAGTTGCTGTGAAGCGCCATGGTAGAGGCGACCGCCCGGATCTCATGCGGATTGTTGGAGCCTGGAGGGTCCAGTCCCGCGGCCTCATAGGCCTGGAGGATGATGGCTTGTAGCCAGAAGGCAATCGTGTTGCGGCTGACCTCCGCTCGCGAGATCACAGATACCGGTACAAAGAGGCGTCGTTGTCTATGGCGTTCATCAGATCGTCGGATGTAGCAACGAAGTGCTCTAACCGGACATAGACGGAGCTCTCGTTCGTCTTCCGCGCCCACAATCGATGACAGAGGGGGGATGAGGAACGATCTGTCGGGCTGGCCTGGGAGCTGATTCTTTGTGATGAAGTCCCAGCACAGGCCCAGATGCACGGCTCCGTGTGCTTCCTGCTCAAAGCGGACCCATGTGACGTCTAGGGCGTGTAACTTTTTGGTCAGGTTGTAGAATGACGACGTTTCGAGTGGCTCGAAAGGCGCGTCTCTCAGCGAGGTGAGAATGACATTCAAGTCCCAGCCTGGGGGACGGAACTTCGCCTTTTGGTCTTCCAGTCTGAATGAACGGAGCAGTGCCTGGAGTTCCGGGATTTTCGTCATGCGTCTATCTTTCAGGACTGCCAGGACTGAGTTGAGCGCCACAATGTAGGTCATGCAGTACTGCCCTTGAGCTTACGCTTGTGTCGCAGATGGAGCATAAACTTGGCCAGGAATTGAGGCGATGCAGATGAGGGGTCTTGGTGCTTACTCCTGCAAAAGCTCTCAAAGGATTGTCACTTGTCATCATAAAGGCTCCTGGTGGTTGGGCTATGTGCCATCGTGATGGCCTTAGCCGCTCTGGCCAAGTAGCCCTTGGCGCTCAAAGCTCTCTGTAAATGGACCAGACGTGAAGACGTAACCTGTCTGGTCCTGGGTGTGGCTGTCTGCTGTGAGGGTGGATCAGCAGGTTTGGCCAATCTGGGATGGCAGGGGGTTGCCGTCGGATAGCTCTCTGAGGTCGACGAACCAAGCCCTCGCTGGCCACCAGGGCGCAACCAAAGTCAGATTGAGGTTCCGTGTCGATCTGATCTTCTGGACGACTTTGGGAAGGAGTACAGGTGGCGGTAAAGCGTACGCTTTTAGTCCCTTCCAGGGGACGCTGAAGGCGTCGACTGCCCAAGCCAGTAGATCCGGCACCGGAGATATGTAGGTCGGGATCTGGTAGTTCTGGCTGGTGGCGAATAGGTCTATGTTGGGAAGACCGTGGTCTTGACAAGCAATAGCGAAGGCGTCTGTGTGAAGTTTCCACTCTGTGGGAGCCACCTTGTCTGGTCGAGACAGGGCATCCGCTAGGATGTTTCGGCAGCCAGGGATGTGGTGGACCTGGAACTGGATCCTCAGCTGATCCACTAGGCGAACTAATCGGAACATCTGTTGAAGGAGCGAGGTCGAATGAGTCGTTCCCTTGTTCCGGTGACACCAAACGACAGTGATGTTGTCTGTCGAGATGGACAGCCGGGCGTGTCTGAGCGCCTGCTTCCAGTGAGTGATGGCCAGGATAAGCGCTTCCAGTTGAGGTTGTTGATGTGCCATAGGCGCTGATCGGTTGAGCACAGCCCTGAGGCGACCTGTCCCTCAAGGTATGCGCCCCATCCCTGTAAGGACGCGTCTACGAAGAGGCGTAGAGAGGTCGTAAGCCCTGTCAATGAGACACCGCCTAAGACATTTGATTCCACCGTCCACCACCGAGGTGCTGCTTGAGATGATCCGGGAGGACGATGGATAGAGTGGGGTCCTGGCGTTGGATGTAGGGTGCCAGGAACATCTGAACAGGGCGCAGTTGGAGCCTTCCTCTGTAGGTCAAGTCCTGTGCCGAGGTTAGGAGGCCCAGGAGGACTTGCCATTGGCGCAGAGTGCGTGGTAGGTGAAGAGCTGGAATCAGGTGCGCCTGAATGCGCTCCCACCGGTCTCTGGGTACAGAGATGAGGTCGAGGTCCGTCTGGAAGAGGCGCCCGATGAACTGAAGGCGCGTGGAGGGTGTCAACTCTGACTTCCTGAAGTTGATCTTCCACCCCAACTGGTATAGGAGTCACAGGGTGAAGTCACTGTGGCGGAGTAGAGTGACCGGGTCCAGATGGTCCAGTAGGCAGTCTTCTATGTACGCCTCGAACTGGATCTCCCGTCGATGGAGGTACGAGGCTATCGGCTTGGTAAGCCGTGTGAATAGCAACGGGGCCGAAGAAATTCCAAACGGGAGGACCGCCCATTGGTAATGGAATGAAGCGGAGAAATTTCCGGTCGTCGGGATGTATAGGGACGTGTAGGTAGGCGTCCTCGATTTCCAGGCTGATGAGCGCCTCCTGCGCCTGGATCCGGGATCGCAGTAGCCTGAGCGTGGTCATCCGGAAGTACGGTGGACACGCCAGGTAGCGTTTGTTGAAGGCGGCGAGGTTGTGTATCATCCTGTGCTTGATCGAGTCCTTCTTGGTGCCCAGGAAGACAGTTGAATAGACGCCTGGTGTTATGGCTGGGGCATGTACAACCTCTATGGCTTTCTTGTATAGCAGCGCCGTGATGTTCCGGCTCAGAAGCTGCTGTTGAGTTGGGGGGTATGTGTCTACTATGGGTGACGACGTCAGTGGCGGGTCTTCTACAAGCGTCAGCTTGTACCCGTGTTGGATGATATTGGTGACATATGGGTCCCCCAGGATCTCCCAATTCTGCCAGAAGTGAGCCAGTCTCCCACCTACTGGGGTGTCAAACTTGGACGACTGGGGGTGGGAGGTCCCAGTCGTGCCTATCCGGGGGTTCACTGGAGGTCCCTGCGGCTGGCGTTACCCCTCTTGGGGTAGCCGCGACGGGGCTGGTATGAGCCTGAGGACTTTCCTTTCCCCTTGCCTCTGCCTCGAGAGGTTGATGTGGAGCCCCGCCCCCGGGATCGGAGGGAGTTGCGTGGTTGGTAGGAGCCAGCCTGGGACGCCCTAGCAAAGTCTGGCCGAGACACCCTGGCCAGGGCCTTGAGAGCCGTCTCATCACAGGCGAAGGCTGAGACCTGGCGTGTGTCTGGGATATTTGTCCATTAAAGAGGTCAGAGCCGGACCAGGGTTGGCGCAAAAGGTCTCTCTTGAACTCTTGGTGCCAGTTGGACAAGGCAAGGTACCCAAGGCGTCTGGTGGTAGTGAGCTCGATCAGAGAAGCGCGCATGTGGGAGCACATCTGTTCCACCTGTTGTTGGAGATAGGTTAAGACAGTAGTTAGATGGTCAACAAAGCAGTGTAAAATCACAATGCGTCCCTGCCTGATTATGTATGCTATAATTTGTTTATCCCACTGTGTGGGGTTGTGAAACAAATATTACGACAAACGTAAGACAACATACAACAAACAAACAATACTTGCAAGGATCCGCCAATCTTTGGGTACCAAGCAAAAGAATATAGAACGCAAACCAGTCCACAAACGGCTGGCTACGCAAAATATTCAAGATGGCAACTTGGAGCAACAAGACACCTTGCCTTATGTTTTCTTTTGAGAAAACGCCAGTAAGTGTCTAATAAAGTTATGCACATGTTTATCAAACATAAAATGTACAAAATACAAACCATATGCACAACACAAAGACAAAAAAACATTAACTCAGATAGCAAACACATGAGGGTTGAACCAGTTTTATGTTACAAGGAGAAAAAACAGGTCTTCTCTCATCAAGTGACAAGAGTAATGTGATGATCTGTGACGTCACTTTCTTTGGTCACGTGGGAGCTGCGTGATGGGTTGGCCTCTCAGCTAGTTGGAGCAACTTCTTCAAGCAAAGACCTTCACACAGCTCTTTTCTCTGTCAAGAACAAGCAGTAATATGCATTAAGGAGTAATGCAGGATAAGTAAAAAATATCCACAAATAGTATCACCATATTTGGTGACATTTTAAGATATATGTCTTTTCATCATCATCAACAATGGTCAAAGTTGATTGCGGATGATGATGGCAAATCCCTATCATTTACACAGCTCGATAACTGAGCATAACAAGAGTCAACAGAAGATGACATATTCCTAAATATTTCCCAATAAAGGCACCACTCCAGGACATGATTGATAAACCTGGCATATGTTTTGTTAAAGAATATTTCATGTGCTCTGCTCTGAAAAAATCGACATCCACCCCATCTCGAAACCAAGTTCAATTGTTTTCATGGAAACGGAGAGAAGTAAAAATGCCCCATATACTTAAATAGCAAAAGGCACCACTTCAAGATCTTTATCATATATCTGCCAAGTATTTTTGAGAGATATTGAACGTTTTTTTAGTTTTGCTCCGGAAACAAAATCCGTGCCCCTTTTGCGAGTCCAAATTGATTCCATGGATACCAAGAAAATTTAAAATGCAAAAATCTGCAAATATCAAAAGGCACCAATTCAGGATCCATTTGATATGTCTGCCAAGTTTTGTTGAATGATATGAACAGTTTTCAAGTTATGCGCTGAAAATTAAAAACAAAAATGCCAAAACTCCTTAGATAGCAAAAGGCACCACTGTTTGATATATCTTCCAATTTCTTTTGAAAATTATTGAACAGGTTTTAGAGTTTTAAGCTCCAGTAAAGACTTGATTACGGATGGACGGACAGAAGGAGGAATGGACAGACAGACGAGGCATGGACTATATCCCCCCCACATTATATACCTTCGGTCAAGGTGAGATAAACATAGGAAATGAGCCCTTTCACCCACATTTTTAATTGAAGTTGATCCCAATCACATAAAATGTCCCAATGACACAAAAAAGCTCGCTCTAATGTCATTTCCATGTATAACAATGTGACCTAAAATTTCGAAAAACAGAAATCAGAAAAACATAAGAGCAGTAAATGAAGATTTGTTAATGGTCAATTATATATAGCCCATAACTTCAAGATTGATATTTTATGGGTCATATGACCAAAAAAATAATAAGATAGATTTGAATGGAAATGGAGGTTCATTTGGTATTCCAGGGCTTTCTTATTAATCTGAAGCATCTGAGGCACATTCATCTATATTGTACCAGAAAAGTGTCTGCAAGTACTTGCAAAAACATAAACAGCCCCTTCACTGATATTTCTGAAAAGCCCCATAACAACGATATTATATGCCCCTATGCATTTCCATTGTGATACCATTACCTTCAATTTGGTGCAATACATGCCTCCTACCTGACTAAAGTACCGGTACTTGGCCTCCAGATAACATAATGAGGACCTTAATGCAATGCCACTGTACTGACATTACTTGCGGTCAGAGAAAAAAAATGTTACAGTTAGCCTCCTCAAACAAAGTCCTAGCCACCCAACTAATAGTTTGTAAAAATATACAATATGCAGTGTAACTTAAAACAACATGCCTCCAGTTTGCAAATGTTTTGCATCACAAGTGGTTTCTGACCTGTAGCACTTAGGGGAGAGTTATACACACTTTCAGTTACTGGAAAATGACTTCACATCTGTTTTTGAAAAACACATGCTCAATTCAGTACAACCTAAACACCTGTTGAAGAATTTATGACATAATTAAATCTAAACAAACCCTAACCTTTTTTTAATGGAGGTGGAACTTGTTGTCATGGAAATTGTAAAAAAAAGAAGAGTTTGGCCAAGTACAAACTGACAAAACCAGTTGCAACATTTACGACTGAATTCATTAGAGAAAGAAAAAACATTACAAGTCATGTTACCGGCACTCACTGCGAGGAAGTAGGCTGCCACGAGTGCCACACACATTTTATGTTGTGGCTTTTTAACAATATGGTCATACCATGTGATATGATAAAGTGAAAAAACAAACAAGACAATATTATAAATGTGAATGTTAAAACTCTACAGCATAAAAGTCTTCATATCAACATGTGCTGAAAACTGTAAAAAGTTTCATAGAGAAGTATGCCATCTTATCGCACACTCATCTCTGTCATAATCAATGCAGAAGTAGGGATGATGGATTTGATAATGAAGTCATTAAACAAAAGTTACACTCAACCATTATTGAGGCACATACTGACAACTTGGTAGACGGCATGCACAGTTTCCCCTACTATGGGAGATACCTTCAAATGATGACAAACACAAAATGTAGGCATACATAAAAAATCTTTATTATGACTTATAAGATTCCTTAAACAGGTTAAATGGGTATCAAGTTGATTTTTTTGGCATTTAAAAGAAGAATTCATAAATTTCTAAAAGTTCAACTTGTTGCCATGGAAAAATAAAACAAGAGTCATCAGAAAGATGACATATCCCCCCGGCAGCTGTCTGTAACGTAACCACAAGTAAATGTGCATTTCTGTATGTGCTGAGTTGAATGTTCTTTAAGAAGCATACATTGTTTACCAACAAAAGATCCACAATGGTCGCATCCATATGAAATGGAAAGTAAAACGTGTGTTTCTGTGGGTTTTTTTATGCAAACAAATGACAAATTACAAGAAACAATAACTAAACAAGCGTATAGTCAACGAAGTCATCTATATCCGCCACCTATTTTAACACGTTATGGTCCAAAACCAGGTAACTGACCCAACATTTCTCTTAGCCCATGTCAAAATGTCTGCAATGGAAATTCTAAAATAAACATTTCTAAAACTCCTTAATATCAAATGGCACCAGTTCAGTATGTACTTTATATATAGTTATGCAATGTTTGGCAAGGAAATATTTAACAGATTATTTGTTATACTCCATAATTAACCCACCCTATATTAAAACTGTTGCCATGTTGCCATGGAAATGTAGAAAATAAAAAGAAATAAAATTCCTAAATAGCAAAAGGCACCAGTTCAGTATGTGCCTGGTAGACATGCAAAGTTTTGTAAGAAAGTATTTTAACGGTTTTTGAGTTATGCTCCGGAAACAAACACCACCCTTATAGAACCTAAGTCCAACTTGTTGCCATGGAAACGTAAAAAGTAAAAAATTCTAAAATTCCTTAATAGCCAAAGGCACAACTTCAGTATGTGACTGATAGATATGCCAAGTTTCAATCAAATACACTGAATTGGTTTCGAGTTCTGCCCCGGAAAAGGAAATGATTACGGACGGACAGACGGACAGACGGATGGACAGACAGACTGGCTGATCGCTATATCCACCCGCATTATATGCCGGCGGGATAAAAAATTCTAAAAAATTTTAATAGCAAAAGGCACCAGTTCAGCATGTACCTGACAGACATGCAAAGTTTCATGAAAAAATATTAAAAGGTTTATGAGTTATGCTCTGGAAACGAACCCTACCCTCACAGAACCTAAGTCAATCTTGTTGCCATGGAAACGTAAAAAATAAAAATTTCTAAAAAATTTAAATAGCAAAGGGCACCAGATCACCATGTACCCGACAGACATGCAAAATTTCATGAAAAAATATTTAACGGTTTATGAGTTATGCTCCTGAAACGAAACATGACGGATGGACGTACAGAAGTACGGACGGACTGACGGAGCCCGTTTCTATATCCCTCGCCAACTTTGTTGGGCAGGGGTTAAAAAGTCCCCTGCCTCCAACAACTGTAATTAACCCTGGCATTAACGACCTTGACCCTCAATTCAGCCAAACAAGTGCTCCCTGTGGGGGACACTTTATTCTATGTCACCTGGGTTGGAGACAGTTGTGTGACATACATTTGTTATTTGTATTATGTTATCTTTCAAGTTTCAATGTTGGTACTTCCTTCAACCCCCAAATATCATCCCAATCATTCTGGACTGACTCCAAATACCATTTCTGCACCATGTTTGCTTTACCATGTGTCCCCTGCTGGCCAGCCCTTGTGTTAGTTACTTACTTTATCATCAGTTTGTCTTCAAATGACCATTCAATGTGTGTTTTGGTTTATGAAGAAGGAGAGGATTTGTTGCAGAGTTATTTCCAATGGTTTGCCTTCACATTCTTACTGACAATACTGATGCAAAAGGGCAAAAGGGCAAAAGGGCAAAAGGGCTTTTCACCTCAAATTCACATTTACAAGTTTACCTCTGCAATGCTTGACCTATGACCCTTCCTGGCTCTGATAGCTATCACAGTCTTGTCTGAAAATTTCAATAAAAACTTCAGAGAAGAGAAGTAGCCAGTTGGAGACTAATCAGAAACCTATGTTGTCTTCTTCATGTTTGAATCACGGCCTTTCAAGCCTCGCAATTAAAACTGAGCTGCTTAAAGATCAGAAACCTTGCATGGCAGTTTCCAAGGAGCAATTCTGAATCTACCTAGATATATACATCAATGATTGGAAGATACCCATACTAGGCTGATTGGAAAGTACCTGTTCGGGGTATATAGTTTCACCAATACGTTTGTTACCTTCAATCCTTTAAAAAATCTTTTTGTGATTGCGACAGGATCCTGCACTCCAAACAGGTCACTTCCACGGGCTTTCTTCCCTCCATACTCGAGCATGGCTTGAACCATCTGGAAGATTATAACAAGAGTCATCAGAAAGATGACAAATATAGTTGAATGTTCTTTAAGAAGCATACATTGTTTACCAACAAAAGATCCACCATGGTCGCATCCATATGAAATGGAAAGTAAAACAAGTGTGTTTCTGTGGGTTTTTTTTATGCAAACAAATGACAAATTACAAGAAACAATAACTAAACAAGCGTATAGTCAACGAAGTCATCTATATCCCCCACCCATTTTAACAGTTATGGTCCCAAACCAGGTAACTGCAAAATAGCTGCAATGGAAATTCTAAAATAAACATTCAGTTCAGTATGTGTTTTATATATAGACATGCTGTGTTTGGCAAGGAAATATTTAACAGATTATTTGTTATACTCCAAAAGTAAACCCACCCTATATTAAAACTTAAATCCAACTTGTTGCCATGGAAACGTAAAAAAACAAAAATTTATAAAATTTCTCAATAGCAAAAGGCACCAGTTCAGTCTGTGCCTGGTAGACATGCAAAGTTTTGTAAGAAAGTAATAGCAAAAGGCACAACTTCAGTATGTGACTGATAGATATGCCAAGTTTCAATCAAAATGCACTAAATTGATTTCGAGTTCTGCCCCGGAAAAGGAAATGATTACGGACGGACAGACGGACCGACAAATTAGTGTCAACGCACTGTTACTCACCTGGTTATATGAAGTCAATAGTTCAAAACAGTGTTGGAAACTCAGCAGAGTAAACTTTTCAAAAACTGTAGGCCCAAACATTTTCGCTTAATAAGGGAGACATACTCTTGCAATATAAATTACAAAGCACAACCAGTCAGGCTTTACTGCTATCACACTGAGTTCCCAGAGACGCTGTGGTGAGAGATGAAGCCTACATTTTTTAAGCTTTGTATAAATAACACGTGCGAAGGTTTGTTCGATGTTTGGTATCACGAGAAAGCTCTTAACATCAATAATATTACAGTAACCCCTCCAGGAGTACATACGTTGTTGAAACATTTTATTGAATAGAAATTGGTTTCTAATTCCGCTGTGGTCGTAATCTAATATAAGGATCGTGATTGGTCAAAATCAAGCTCATGACCTGAGGCAGCCAATCAATGGGACCCGTTGTTGAAACATGTGTCCCAGATTATTTTTTTTCAATAACGTTACAGGAAATAGTTTATAAGTTTTAATCTTTTTATAAAAAGTGATAAATTGAAATCAAATATGTATTTTCTGACTTTGAGAAAAGTGATAGATTTAATGAAACTATATATTATTTTGATGTGGCTATGGTCTGGCTGGTACACCTGCCTGCGGGGTTGAAAGAGTTAACGGGAGAAAGGGTTGAAATACTTTGAAGCTGGACCCGTTTTCACTAAGCAATCCCAGCGTTATGATTCATTTACCATGTTCACAGCTTAAAATAAACTGCAGGGCATAAAGGCCCTGCTGAAATGTAAAACTATCATCCCAAGAACAAATCTCGGACTTACGGACTGACGTCTACCTCGAACACTAGTTTAGAATATCAATAATCTCATCAAATTCAGATCTTGCCTGGATATATCTCTCAAAAGTCATATTATCATTTGTTTTGTAGTACCATTAAAATTACAAAAGATTCTTCATAGATATTGAGGATTTATTTGAAAAACATGACACAAGTAACTACATTTACAAAGTGTTTCATTATCTGACCCAATGAACATGACACGTAATATTGTATAAGGCTGTGGCAATAAATTTCCATAAAAAACTTTCAACTCAGAGCCACATATTCCTAGTTGTTTTTATTCACTTTATTGTTACCAATTGTTAAACAAATGAGGGGCTGTCGGTTAGCCTAGTGGTTAAAGCGTTCGTTTGTCACGCCGAAGACCCGGGTTCGATTCCTGACGTATGGGTACAATGTGTGAAGCCCATTTCTGGTGTCCCTGGCCGTGATATTGCTGGAATATTGCTAAAAGCGGTGTAAAACCAAATTCACTCACTCACTCACTCACTGAAACAAATGATAAACATTCAATTTTAATTCCATTCACAAAGCTCAACTTTATAAAAGTGTCAAACTTCCACAGAAATCAAAACATTTGTGTCCACCAAACGTTTCAGAAACAACAAGCATGAAATACTCATATCCCCCGCCAATATGACATGTTCGGCTGTGTACAATGCATTTGCTCCTGTGAACTATGTTCACTGTACCTTTTCGTAAATGGAAAATTGCAGCACTAAAAAAGTTATTACTGGCGTTGTTTTGCCATCTGCAGTTTATGATAGAATATGTAATGTATTTGTAATGAGTAAGAATGAGACATATGAGACATAACAACTTCTTTATTATAATTAGGAACGAAGTTTGGTGTAGGTTTTAACACCGTTATCAAGCAAGTGAAGTACAGAGTATTGTTGACAAGAATATGTACAGGATAGGAGGCAGTGTTTATACAGTTGAGTAGGTTTAAGATGCAGTTCAGTGTTGTATTTGTAATGAGTTGTGTTATTATTTAAACAATAATCAGAGAAGTAAGTAAGGGAGTTCTTACTTTACTTAGAGATCATTGAGAGCAGAGGTCACCATGAGGTGTACTGAGAAGTACAGCACCAATCATCTGATGATCTGAGTAGTAGACTGGAGTCTGGAATGCTACAGCACTGGCATGATCAGTAAACAACAAGTCCAGTGTAGCTCCAAGACAGTGAGTTGGAGAGTGAATGAGTTGAGTCATTTTCCGCACATTAAAGAAATCCTCAAGTTTCAGTTTTTCACTCAGATCACAGTTCATGCTGCTTGGAGAGATTCTAAAGTTTCTGCATGAAATCAGTAAGTGAATGCACCAACCATGTCCATGACACTTTTGTAGGAATATACACACAAGCAATGCAGCACTTGCCAACAGGAAAGGAAATGTATTCAATAATGCGAGATGACATTACATCAAGTAGTATAGGTAATGATGGTTCTGGACCACTTCTACTGGAGCCAGATTCATATACCTATAATGCTACTACAGGGGGGATTTTTTATGCGAAAATGATGATGCGATTGAATGATAGTCATGAGATTAAGTTAAATTGGGTCTAGCTCACCAATACCTGGGTCCAATCATTGCTTCTATTAGTATAAAAATGATGATGCGATTCAACGAAAGTCGTTTTAAAAGAAATATCAATATTAATTAATAATGAATAAAATTTACTAAAGCCCACGAGGATATTGGAAAGGTGTAGGAGCAATAAAAAAATTAGCCACCACGGCTAAGGTATCTAAAGATGTGGCTAAGGATTGGTTAAAGAAACAAGCGATGTGGCAAATATATTTACCGGCACCCCGTTATATACCGAGGAAGAAGTTTGATATTTTTACAACGAATGAAGTTCATCAGGCTGACCTCTTGTTTCTTCCCCACAATAAGGTAAGACGCAAAACGTATAAATACGCTTTAACAGTAGTGGATGTGGCTAATCGATACAAAGAGGCTGAGCCATTAACCTCGAAAGATTCAACAGAAGTAGCTAATGCACTGAGCCTCATATATAAACGCGGGCCACTAAAATGGCCTAAGCTATTTCAAGTAGATCCCGTTCTCGAGTTTATGGGATCGGTAACTAAACTGTTAACAAAGCACAATGTCGAAATCAGGCGTGGTGAAAGAGAGGCCCACCGCAGTCAAGCTATCGTCGAAAGATTTAACAGGACATTAGCGGAACGTTTGTTTGGCTGTCAGTATGGGATCGAAATGAAATCCGAGCGATTGAGATCAACCAAATGGGTGACACGATTATCAGCCGTTGTATCAGTGCTGAATAATGAAGTAACGAGATTAATAGGGAAGAAACCATCCGATGCTATTAAAATGAAATCTGTGACTTCCGAATCTTCAGCACTGAGGAGAGGCAAAGAACGAAAACTTCCGGATAGAGTAAGGGTAAGATATTTATACCAGCCCGGTGAACTCGAAGGAGGCCTACGTCGTGCAACCGATCCAATTTGGTCTCTTAAGACATATAACATTAGTCGATTGGTTACGAAAGAAGGAGAGCCTATTCTTTATTATCTTCAAGATTGACCGAGTAGGGCATTTGTACGAGAAGAGTTGTTCATAGTTCCCAACGGTACGGTATTACCACCATAACCATAAGCATAGTTAGTTACACCATCATTATCAATCCATCTCTTTGTATCTAAGGGGGATAATGATGTCTTGTTCATTCTTAATCCATATATCCTATGATTGTAACTTCTTAAAGAGTTCATCTCGTGTTTGAACGTTCTACCGTTGAATAATGATTCTTTATACTGTTCGTGTTTGATATGCTTTTTTACAACATACTTTTTAACACCCTTGGCTTTTCTTATCTCTCCATTATCGGACTTCTTTATAGAATACATCTTAGGTCTTAATCCGACATACTCCGCTATTGGGGTCCCAGCACATTCATCGTTCATCTTACCTAACACCTTTTTATTTACTACGCTGTGCAGTGGATTATCTTTTGGGTAATCGCTCGTGTCGTACATATCTATCTTTTCTGCCATATCTTTATACACATCCTTGGTTTGTATTTCCATCAACAAAGAATCTGTGTCGGTATATAACACCTCGCATCTATCGCCGTATTGCTTCTTAAGTTTGTTGTAATAAAAGTCATACATTAAGTGTTTTGACAAGTCGAGAATACTCATACCAACGTACACCGGTCTGTTGAATTTTATATTACTCTTCTGCATATGCAACGCGGCTAAGTCGTTATCAAATATCTTGCTTCTGATAAAAGCCGGACTGGCTATAAGTTTCCTGAGTCTTTCTTCCTCATTAGATCTGACTAATTTAACATCAACACGCTTCCTTAGATTCTCCATAGTTTTACCAAATACTGAGTTATTCATGAGCTTATACAGATTCTTTTCGGAATCGCTGGTAGCTATCTTTCTTAAATCTGTGTTCAACCTTATATAGGGCTCCATCCAAGGGCTTTGATCAAACTTTAGAACTCTGTGTATTTTCTTAAGTT